TAGAAACTTATAGAACAGTAGAGGTCTCCCATGAGTATTTTTTTTCCTCTGTAATCCAAATATACTTGGAATACATTTATATATCTATATTGGGTAAAAAACAGCTATGGCAAGTCTGCTTTACAGTGGGTCATTGATGTAAATTAACAGAAAGCTTTCCTACATCTAGTAGAATAAACATATTTTATTGTTCTTTAAGATTGCTGGACCCATAAAGTAATAAATCAGCTACAAAATACAAGTTTATTCACCCTCTCCAGGTAACTGGTGAGAGATTCATTCACAACAACTCTTACCTGCTTCCAACTCTTAGAAACCAAATCTCCTAATTTTTATATGGGAAAGGGATATCCAGCAAAGGGTATGTAGAAAAGAGACAGAAACAAAAAGGACATTTCCAACTTCAATTTAGGCAATGATTTTATAGAAAAGAGACATAATAAGCTTACTTGGAAGGAACAGGCATTCCATCAGAAGTAAAAAGCTTCAGAAATGCCCAGCCACAGCTTAGCTCTCCTCTTTCACCCGTTGACTAGGAAAAATGGAAACAAAAACAACTTAAGCACCTAAACCAGACTACCTGAACCACAAGTAATTATTTAGGATAATCACATTGAAATGGGGAAAAGCCCCAGATCTGTGGTAAGCAAGCACTGACTACGTTGCATTTGCAGGTGTTTGAAGATGGTTCCCTGGACAGCACACACAGTTTTGCTGAAGTCAGTGGCCCATGAACATATTTAAGAGATGAGGATTTATTAAGCCAAGAAATATACATTTAAAGGCAACCTATGAATATCAAGCTCCTGAAAAAGAAGATGAAATGCAGAGATACAGAAGGTATAAAACCCCAAATCCATTGTATGCTCCAAATATTCGTTTCCTACACTCCCACCTGCATCCAGCTCCTATTACAGTAGTTTTTAAGTGCATTACTATCTATTGTGTCACTCCAGTTGTACTGTTCCTCATGGACAGGAGGTATCTGTGTCCACTGCAGCTAGAAACAAGTCTCCATACTATTTAAACCCTAAAAATTTTAGATTCCAAACTGTACTTCTGAGGAGTCGTGGCTTAAGTATCAAAGATAAGTAGATATGGAACATTTAAAATGTTGAAGAATAATCCAGTCCCAGTTCTGTCAACAGTAAGTCAGTGTTGAGGCAAGCAGGCAATTTCACTCTCTAGGTACCACACTTAATGAAAACAGGAAAACAGTGTTAGAGATGAGGCTTAGAAGAGATTTAGAGAGGTAAAGAACAGTAGAGGAGAGGGAAAATTTGTTTCACTAGTCTGAAACAAATTACCAAAGTTGAAAATACTACTGCAGGAGCAAAGAGATCCTGTTATATGAGATCTTTGGCAGCCTAACAGTGTAAGTGAAGTAAAGGTACATTCATGTCCACTAGTCAGAAAGTTTTATTCTCTAAATATCAACTAGAACTAAGAGACAGACCCCTGCATCTCTCTCATCCCTCCCAGAAGCCCAAAGGAGGACAACCTTACAGCAAGCTGGGCTAAGTCCAGCTAGGTTTCCCCCTGGAGCTGAGTTTGCTGTGGGGTGCTGGAACCTGGGGCAGGCAGCAGGTTCCCAGAGCTCTGCCTGGGGGGGCTGCTGCCCCCACACACACTTACGCTGCGGAGGTAGGTGATGCCCAGCTCAAACAGCACCCCCAGGGCTGGGGACAGGCAGCTGCACCTCACAAAGCAGTCACCATCCAGCAAGCTGGGCAGAAGGCCTGTCACCTAATGCAGACAGCAGGGAGGAAAGAGGAAAGGAAAAGTAAATGTCCCTACTGAAAAACCCCACTCTGATTTTTAAAGGCCAGCAAACACCTCGCTCATCTGTGTAAGATCTCAGACCCAATCCCAGTGCAGATTAAAAAGAATTATGAGTAGAGCCCCTTCAGCTGAAAGCTTGCTTTCCTTATTATCTTGCCATGAAACACAGCTTGCTACCAAGGTACTTTTTGGGAGTGTGGTGACAAGCTAATAAAGAGCATGAGGTATCAAAAAGGCCTTAATTCCCCCCAAGAACATAGCAACGGCTGGGTTCAAGCATGATAACACACCTGAGCAGGTGATAACACACCTGGACAGGTGATAACACACCTGTGTGGCCCTACACACCACCTGAAATGTGGGACAAAGCTTTTTCTTTGTGAAAACAAAGCAAAAACTCCCATGCAAAGGGATTGGTTTCTCCCCTTCTCCATGAACACCACGCAGCATGCACCCAATATTAATCCAAAGTGAACCAGTGCCATTGGCTGGTCTCCAATCTCTCCCCCTACTTCTCCTTCCCAACTCTTTTTGCCAAAGTTTTTCTGCTAAAAACAGTTGGTTTAGTTTGAATTCATGCACTTCAGCAAGTCCTTTCTCTTCTGCAGGCTCGTTTTGATTGCAGTAAGCTCTGTTTTGACACCAATGCCAGAAGGAACAGATAGATAGCTCCTGGCTATGTCACTCCCTGAGTGAGATACCTACCCTGGGTGAAAAGGTCCATGTTTGAGGGTTTTTTGGTTGCCACGTAGCTCTCACTGTGTGAATGTTACTCAGCACCTAAAGCGTGACAGTGGTGAGAAAAGCTAAGAGAGTTTTTTCTAGAAAGTTAAGCAGCCTGAAGAAAATGCAGTATCCTCCTGGATCAACCCAACACTGCACACTACAAAGATGGAATTACACTTTCTCTTCAGCTTTAGCAGATGGTTTTGGTTTAATGACTACAGAGGAAGCCTTCTCTGAAGCCACACATGCATGAAGATCAACAGCAGCTAGGGGAATCCAAACAGGACCCTGACCCAGCCCTTCCCAGGCCCAACACAGAAGGGAGCTCTGCCCAGAAAAAGGCTCATCTCCCCAAACTGAAGGAGCCAAGAGGCACAATGGCAGGTGGGGGAACCAAAATTAGGGACTCAGTCCCACCCCAGCCACTCCCAGGGCTGCCCAAGGACAGCCACCAGCCCCGGGGACAGGGTGTGACTCCCATCCTGGTGAGTCACCAGGAGTGGCTGGCTGCATTGCCCTGCAGGCTGGAAGGGTGTGCAGGGGACCTCAGGGACTGCACGTGACCCACTGCAGCATGTCCCAGGAGAGACCCAGGGCAGGAGCAGGGAGGGGTCAAGGTGCTTGGTGGAGAGTGAAACAGGCCCACGTGTCCAGCCGCGCCCCGTCCGTGCAGCCTGCTGTGCCTCAGACTCCAGTCACAGTGAGTTTTCTGGGTGAGCAGGCTCTGCATTCTGACCACACGTGTGTGTGTCCCTCCTGATGCCAGCAGCTGGCCAGGCCACAAGTCACTGGGGGCCTAAAGTGTCACTGAAGTGCCTGGTGATGGCAGGTCAGGGCACAAGGGCTGCTGCGTCAGCCTTAGCCCAGGCACGGGTCAGGCCATGCTCACTTGAGGAGCCTGGGGGCAGATGGGGGGTGTGTGCCTCTGGGTGAGACTGGAGGAGCTGGCTACCAGAGGAACCAGAGCATGAAAGGCCCTGAAGGATCCACACCTCCTGCAGACTGTTTTTGGTAGCCAAACCGCTTACCCGGTGGCCGTCGAAGAGAGCGAGCCGGACGTGCCTACTGAGCACCTGGATGCTGCTCCCTGGGAGGGGGATGGCTCTGCAGCCACTCAGCGTGGCAACCAGGGACACTCGAGCTGCTCTGGGAGAGATCTGAAACACACAACAGGAGGAGGACTCCACCTACAGGCTTCTTCTGCACGTGGGATCGTTTTGTGTGTATTGACTGAGGAGTTCGCTAGACTGGATTCTTCTAACCACGGAGCTGGAGTCGTGGCAGTCACAGCAGCAACATTTCCTCCTAAGCCTTTAGCTCTCTCCTAAGGAAATTGCTACAAATATTTTAGTGTGACAGACAGAAGGTCCTATCAAAGCTTGAGGAGAAAGAAGTACTCTAAAAACAGTGCTAATGAAGATGTAATCATTAGCCCAAATGAAAGAGCACAAAGTAAATCTGGGATTTCACCCTGCCTAGCAGATCATGGTTTAAAAATTCACACTAGTCCCCCATACAAATCTGCTTCCCCCCAGACAGGGAGGGAACCCACAAACTTAAGATGAAACATCTTAAAAAAACACCCAATGCAAATTTGTAACAGTCTTTTGCCTTTTCCCCCTACTTTTAGGGAGTAGGATGTGACCCCATCCACCCCCTGTGGAGCCTGGGCTGGTACCCAACCCCATCACCTGTTTCCCAGCAGTATTCACCCACCAATGTGAACCACTGTGAGCAGCTCTCTCCTAGAGCTCCCTCCTCTCCCTCAACCCAAAACCACCACAGCTTTCTTACCAGGAGCACTCACCGTGTTTTTTTCTGAGTTCCACACCAAGTCTTTGAAAGCCAGCTGTGATGGAGTGAGTTCAGGCTGCAGGAAACGACTGGCTCGGAACTGATTGCCTACAACAAGAATAATTTTTAAAATTATTAAAATTTTTAATGATCTTTATTGTCACAAAATGAATGACACCCAAAATTCAGCTGTGGCTACAAGTTCGCTTGAATATCTGACTGGCCCAAACAAAACTCCAGAGGAATCTTCTACAAGCACCCTTTAAAAAGGGCACTCCTGCTGTTTCTGTGTTCTGCAGAATTTCATCCCAGCAGCATAGTAATTTAATAAAAAGAGCTACTGATTTGAAACAGTTTTAAACAAAAAGCCTGACATCTGAGCTGTGTAACGTATTTGGTGAAGAGACTCCGAAAGATCTCTGAAAAAAGGGGGAAATTAAAAAAAAAAACCTACTCATCATCATCTTTTTCTGCCACATCAACAGGAAGTGTCCTCCAAAGAGGGAACTTTTTGAAATCTTTAGGAAATTTGTCATGGCCTTTGTGTGGCCAGGATTTCACCCAGATAAAGTAAAAGTTAAGTGAAGAAGACGAGCCTTTTATACACTATTTGATGGGTCAAATCTTGAAGGTCTCTTCCAATCAGAACCATCCTGTGATTACCCAGCTATAATTAAACAATGCTGATATTAGTCTAATAGGCTAAACCAGGGTGAGACACTCAGAACAGCCCCCTGAGCATCCTGCACTGCAGTTGTGAGGAGACAACCTCACCTTCCTCCAAGAGCTGGAAGAG